CCCTCTTTTGATTGTATATAACAAAAGCCAAGGGGGAAAAATGAATGCATGCGTGTTTGATGATAAACTGTATATATTATTTACATAAAATTATATATTATATATATTTGAACTTTATATATTATTTCATTAAATGTATTTTATTTTTATTTAATATTTTGTTTAATATAAGGAAAATATAAATAAGCATTTATATCTAATGCTTTCCCTGTTTTTTTTTATTTATTGTAATAAAAAGTCCAATAAAATAAATAAATAAATACCTACATGCATGCATACACAAATATTGATATCATTTCATATTATATTATTTCTGTTTTGTTTATCTATTTATTGTATATAATAGACATGCCAATAAATATACATATTACTATATTAATAATATTAAATATAATATATACAAAATATAATAAATAAATACGAAGACATTTTTGGCCTATTTTATAAAATAATACCATGTAGTAGTCTAAGCCTTTCATCTCCACAGAGAATACCCAGGTGTGTGTGTGTGATTAAAATGTGTTTTCACCCAGTTCTCAGTTGCCCTGTGTTTCCTGTCACCTGCAGCAGTGCTTTCATAAGTGAGATGAGTTTTGAGAGCTCTACACACCTGAAACACTGTGACAATGGCCCACAGCAGGGAGTCAAAGTTTTTCCTGTCAGGTACTGTGTCCCCAGCCTCTGTCCTCAGGCTGAACTTGCAGCCAAATATGTGCATTCCCAGAATACTGCAGAAACAAACAGACAAACAAGCTCTGAATGTTACTCTCACGTTTAGATATTCTGATACCGTATGCTTCCGATCGAACCCAATGAGTCTGTCAGAGATGAGGAGCCTATAAAAATGATATCAGTGCTGTGTGAGGAGACATATGTCCTGGTTGGACAGGAGCCAGAGATGAGACCAGTCACGCTGGAGAGACGGATCACTGAATACAAAATGAAACACACACCAATAGATAAATGAGACAGGGGTGATGCTACAAACATACAAACAGTGGTAGCATGTTACTAATGACAGATTTGACATAATCAGATTGAAAACGTTACATTTAAATGAAAATATGTAAGTATGAATGAACAACGCTTACTTGTGGTGCTAAAAGCTTAAGTATAATGGGTACTGTAGTTCTAGACAGTGTGTATCATGCTTAGCAGTGACATACAGAGCATTACAATGATTTCTTGCAGCCTACTGCCAGATTTACTACTTAAAAACTGCAAAACAAGGCTGATAAATATGAATAGTGGACAAAATATCAGAATCTGGGGACTGGATCAGAGCTGTGGTGGATTTGCTCTGTCCTGAAACTCGCAGATATGGTCAAAATAAGCTTTGCTGTTGTTTTGACAATGGCTGTGCACAGTTTAAGACAGTAAGAAAGGCTATATGAAATATATGCTTGTATAAAATATGCCTACACAAAATCCATAGAAATGTTTAAATCAGAAGGCTGATAGTCCTGTGACATGTTTATACTTTTCTGAAAAAAAATTTAAAAAATCACTGGGAAGTACGGTGATCTCCACCCAGGGATAATAAAAATAATAAATAAATAAATAAATTCATACATAAAGTAAAATGCAATGTTGTACCGCATTACTTTTAACAGTAACATCCACACACAACTCCATAAAACCACCCAGTGACAAACGTTTTTCTTTCCTCATTTGAGTTCAGCAGTTCTCTATGCAGCAGAGCAATGATGAAGTCGATTAATAATTGGCACAAATACAGCTTCCAGTCTGTAATGCTGATTCATTCTCGCCATTCGCTCCATCCATACGTCATCCCAGGCATCTGCTAACAGTTACAAAAGCCTGTTGACTGTACCCGCAGGCTGGGGACGACTCTATCCATTTAAGAGACATAAATCAGGGCATTGTTTTCAGATGAGGGGTTATAAATTGAGATGGTTGGTGAGGGGGGAAGGGGATACGCTGAAAGCTAAACATGAGTGGGAAAGATGGATCGGCGGGATTGGTTTATGCACTCAATCCTGCAGCAGCCTCCATCTGTCTCGGTGCACTCTGCTGGAATTGCAGCGCTGCAGGGGGAAGGCGGGAGAGTCAGTGGGCACAAGGGGCCTGAGTGTTATTGTTCTGCCCTCCATCAATCTCACTCTGATCCTTATGGGCTTGTCACTTGCAGCTGAAGCTAAGGTGTACACTGTGCAGCTGAGACACTCAGCCATGCAGAGCCCAGCGTGATCCAGCTGCTGTTAGGTGTGAGATTTTATAAACCCTCGCTGCTTTGTGTGATAAAGTGTGTGGCGTTTATTACAAACAAGTGTGCGTACGGGTGCGGACAGAGGCTATGAGCAAGCACACGGATGTGAGTGAGTTTCATTCAACTACAATTGCATATGAGAACCACTTGAATGCAATAACGAAGAATAAATAAAATGAATGAATAAATAAATAAAATATAATAACAATAAATATATTTTAAAAAGTTATATATTTAAAATACACATATATATATATATATATAT